GGAGGGAGTGGGGGTCTCTTGTGGGCAGAGCTTCAGTTTTGCAGGATGAAAAACGTTGGCATCGGGTGCACAGCAAGTCAATGTGCTGGACACGATTGAACTGTGTCCTTAAAACTGGTTCAGTTGGAAAATTTCTAACTAAGCACATGGCCGGGGGTGCTGATTGCATGCGGGTGGTTCTGAGTGCGGGTGCCGGGGAGGGGAATGACTGGCGGTCAGCAAAGCAAGGTTTCTTCAGCTGCAGGCAGGGCCCTGGCCAAGGCCTCCTGGGTCGCTCTGTGACCCGCAGCCAGCCGGGGAGCCAGGGTTTTCTTTCTCCATTTGGTGCTGACACCTCATGAGCTACCTGAGCAATGCTGCTTCCTCCTGCTTCTGCGGAGCTGCCGGACTGGCCGGATCGGTGCCCATCCCATCCTCTGCATCCTCGCAGATGTTAAATTAAAGACCTCCCACCAGCACCGGGGAGGCAGTGTTGGAGTGGGGGCTGGAAGCCAACTTGGCCGAGAAGCATTGTTTAATAATTAGAGGTTGAGAGCTGCAATTCCCTGGGTTGGGATAATAATGGGCTGATGTTTTCACACGGAAATTGGGTGTGAGGCAGCTGCTGCTCCAGGGAAGCTGTTCTTTCCTCCTGGAGGGCTCCAAGTCAAGGGCCACACAGGGGCCCATGTCCCAGGGTCCAGGACTGACACTGGCTGAGGCGAAGGTTTCTCCCCTTTTGTGTTTTCCCCACCTCATGGGCTGTGGCTGAGCCCTAGAGAGTGTTCTCCTGGACGCCCACCAAGCCTGCAGATGGCCAGCCGCAGGGATGTGAACATGACATCATGTCCAGCAGGAGCTGCTGAGCCAGAAGCGGCAGGAACTGGGTTTTCAGCAACTGCAGTCGTCGCTAGGCTAGGAAGCACCTCTGCGTGGATAGAGTCTGGGGGCCACAGGGAGCTGCACAGAGGACCAGGACCTGGGACCTCGCCCAGCTTTACCTTTGACCCTGTGTCTCCCTCAGGAAGCAGGAAGGTGGGACTTTCCCCCCACAACCAGTTCTGTGCTCTTGGGAGACACCAGAAGCAACACGCAGGGCCGACCCGGAGCATGAGTGCTGGGGATGCCTCCAGCCCAGCTGTTTGTCCACCTTCCCCGCCACATAACTCCTTCCAGCTCCCCGGGAATGGTCTTCCTTTCAACCTTCTGACCCAGGAGCCTCCTGCAGGCTTTGCTCACGGGGAGAGCTCAGTGCATACCTGTGGTCTAAGTCATACGTTTTACCAGGTTTCTGAACATTAAGGAGAGTCAAGGCCACCTCACCATGAGCTCACAGGGCACGTTGAAAATGGTCCAGAAATGTTTGTCAGCAGTTCAGTGAAGGAGCCAGTATTGATTAAGCCCCAACTGTGTGCTAGGCAATAGGCTGTGTGCCCAGGACCAGCTACAAAACCTGTGGGGTTCAGTGCAGAATGAAAACACGGGAAACCAAGTGCAAAAATGGTTAAGAATTTCAACATGGCGACAGCGGAGCATGAAGCTTGGCTAGGGGCCAGGGCTCCTGAGGGTCCTGTGTGACTGCATGGGTCACACACCCATAAAGTTGGCCTGTCACTTAGATCTGGAGAGTCTTCTTTCTCCTGGGGAGGAAATGAGGGCACCTGAGACTGCAGACCTGGGTTTGGACCCTGTTTTTTCTTTCATTCCCTGGATGAACTCCACAGCCTCCGTACATGGGTCTGTCGTGAGTTCGATGTGAGAGCTGGATTACCCAGAGACGAAGCTGCCCCAGCAGGCAGATGGCTCCCTTTTTATTTTCTGAGAAAGGACCTGGAACAGAAAGGAGAGAGAAGATGCACATTTGAGCTGACTCTTTCAAGCCAGGCTTCTGATTGAGCTTGGTTCTCCTGAGCACCCGACACCTCCTCCCACTTCCTCCGGAGAAGCCACAGGTGGCATTGCAGGGCACAGCATTGGGGACCAGGCGTTTCCCTCCAGGGAGGCCAGGGCGTGGGAAGACACAGAGCCCCGCCAGCCTGCAGAGCGGCCCCGCCAGACAGCACCCCGTTTTCCTGTGGAGCAGGAGCCTGACTCTGTCCCGTTGTCCGTTGGACCAACGGCCGCACGCCCTTTCTCCCATCACCCAGGCAAGGCAGTGGGATGAAGCTTTCAACACATCCAAGTGCTCACTCTGGGAAAGTGCGGAACAAGATCTCGGCCAGCCTGGTCTCTGTGTCAGTGTATGTGTGAGAGCTTGCGTGGGAGCCGTCGGAAACATTCACAGAGGTCAAGAATGTGGGGTTGGGGTGAACAGATTTATGTCCCTCGTTTCCTTTGGCTTCCTCTCTGCCTGTGCTTCCTTCTTGCCGGCCCCTATTACCCATTCATTGTCATTTCAAGGTCGTCTTGGACAGAAAAATTAAGTCACAAGCTCCCTCTTGCAGCTCCTTAGGGCTCTTCCCAGGGAGGTTCCCTTGGCTTCAAAATGGGTTATGAAAAGCGTGGGGTCTTGGAGCCTCTCTCTTTCCCTTTGTTAAAACAGTTTTAAAGTCGATTGCCAAAAATATATGTTTGTTATGGAAAAACGAGAAGCTTGAAGTAAGCAAAACCTCTATGAGCTGCTGGCAGGATTGGCCCCAGCCCCTTCTCACCGTCTCCCCAGCCAGTTTGGAGGCTGCACCTTGAAAACTGTCACATCCACCCGGCCGCCTGCCCTGCCCTCTCCTCTGGGTCTGCAGGATGCCCGGGGCACCTGGTAGGACTTCTTTGCCCTGAGGCAGTGGCCCTGGGCCTGGGAATCCGTACATCAGAACCTCAGATGGAATCTTTCAAATCTACTGAGCTGGAATCTGGGGGTCGAATGGGTGGGTGGGATCTGTGACAACCCTCAGGTGAGTCTGAAGCCAAGCAAGGGTTGGGAGCACGCAGGCTCTGAGCCCCACTTACGTGGAAGTCCACGCCGTGCTGAGAAGTGTCGAATGCGGGTTATGTTTCAGGATCAAATACAACTGAAAATCTGCAGATTGGAGTGGGATGAGGGAGAGGTGACTATAAAAATTAGGTCACCCGGCCGGGCGAGGCTCAGCAGTTGAGCATTGACCTAGGATCCAGGCGATCGGGGTTCGATTCCTGGTCAGGGCACATGCCCGGGTTGTGGGCTCGATCAATGACTCTCTCATCATTGATGTTTCTCTCTCTCTCTCTCACTCTCCTTTCCCCTTTCTGAAATCAGTAAAGATATATTTAAAAAATTAGGTCATTGAGCCCCATGCCAGTGATGGGTTGAACACCCGTCCTGACAGAGGAGTAGAATCGAGGACATGAATGAGGGACAGGGTGTCAGAAAGGGGAAGGCAAGGTGTGGCCCATCCAGGACCTCCCACTTTCTTTGATAATTTTGCTCAGTGCCAACCTTGTCAGACCTGCTTCATCTTCCACCCCAAAAGATTTTTAAAAAGTGAAATGAGAAGATGTGGCTCCAGAACGCACCTTTCTCTACCTGAAGCTGCACCTGAGTGTGCTCGGAGAATTGCAGATGAGCGGACGCTTTCTGCCGGCCCGGGATGGGCCCCTGTGAGAGGATGAGCCTGGCACCTGCCACTGCTCGCCTCACCTGGTCCCAGGCAGGGCCCCGCCCCAAACAGCGCTCTGGTCAGCTCCCGCCTGGGGGAACCCGTGGAAGGAGTTGTGGGAAAGCTCTGGTTTTAGAAAAGAAGGGCCCAGAGCCCTCCTTACACCCATGAGCATCCTGCAGCCAGAGTGAGTCTCTCGTGCCCGCAGAACCGGGGCGGGACGAGGTTTTCAGCAGCTTTACTCTCTCATTTGTCCACAGCTACGTACCTGGGGGGCCCGGGGGAGCTTTAAAGAAATAATGCTCAGAAATGCCTTTCATGTTGTCTTCTTCTTCCAGCGTCTAAAACTAGTTGCTGCCCGAGTAGAGTAGCTTGGGGAAGTCACCGTAGGTTGAGGATATTGACTAGTAATTGTTTCTGATCCATGACTTGGCAAACATTTTCTTCCAAAATGTTTTCAGCTGTTGGAAGGAGTCCCTCCAGCAACCGAGCGTTACGTATGGAAGAGTTTAGCTATAAAAGGAGGGTCTTGTGTGGGGTAAATGGGCGTTCCAGTTGGAAATGTGACGGGCGACTCCGGGCAAGCGCGGCTGGCCAGCATTCCTCACCGTAACCGTGACAAGTAAAGCAACACTGTCACTGTGGGCAGGCCGACTCAGCAAGATTAATTACAGTGTCTTCTTCCATTCGTGGGGATACTGCACATACCTGACGACTGTGTTTTTTTCTTTTTAGGACAGATTTCTGCGTGCACAAAGACGAACCGTGCGACACCGTCGGTAAGTTTCGAGTTAAAGCTGTAATCTAAGGGGCTGATATGTACCTTTGATAATTTCTGCATTTCCTTGTTGCCTTTTTTCTTGGAAATTGATAATTTGAATTCATTCTACTTATTTTTCCCAAAAAGTTTTGAGGTTGCTTATGACAGAAGGCATCTAGACAAAGGGTTAGTCAGGAAGTTATGAAATGTTAAGCCAGGGGAGGGGCCCCCAGGCTACCCCAAGGTGACTATGGTCAGGGGCGCATTTGTTTCTGAGCCTCTCGGTCACCAGTGCAGGAGGGGGATCCTACCGAGTCACGCGGTTGTCGTGAGACAGAAGCTTGCTGATTTATTCTCGTGCCCGGGGATGGTTTTTACCAGGTGTCCTAGGTGAAGTGTGACTGTGGTGGGAGACTGGTCTCCCCCACCAGCCTTGGTGCCAGATTCATTGCTTTCCGGTCAAATAGTAATGGTACCACCAGCACTTATTGCAGGAGAGAACACACTTTTCTTCTTCCCCTTCCCTCCCTCCTCTACCATTTCCCCCTCCACTCGCTGTTTCCTCTCTCTCCCCTCCCCAGTTATATCTGGCTTGCTCTTCTCATAGGTTTCAGATTGGATCCATTCTTTGAGCATTGGAATGGACTGCTCGGCTAACAGGGAACACCCAGAGGGCTTTCGATTTTGTCTGTTATAGCCCAAACCTTTATTCCCCAAGAGGTCCAAATACTGCATCAATGAGAGGGAAATTCTGTGTTTAGAATTGTAGGAAAATCGAAGGAAAACAGCATAAGACTGAAAAATATATATTATTGTGGAATTAAAATGTTCAAAAGCTGTGCTTCCCATGGAGCCCTCGGGTCATGGGTCATCTCGAGCCTTCTCTTTGGTTCCACCACATGCATGTTGACTTGGGGTAAATCTTTGTCATCCATAAAGTGATCGCTTCGGCCTACGTGACTTATAAGGCCCTTCAAAATCTAGCACAGTGACAGCTAACATTTATGTCACCTTTTAGAGTTTATGAAATGATTTTTTTATATGTTGTACTTTATCAGTCCTTTAAACAAGTCTCAGAGCTAGATGTCAGAAACCAGCTAGCCAATGTGTGCTTCCTGTTTGGGGGCTGCCTGCCTAACAGAGTGACTAGACAATGTAGTGTGACATAGGCCTTGATAGAGGGACAGCTGACACATGTCTAAATCTGGTTGGGGCTGTAGGTGACTACAGTTAACGTTGGCCTCTGTCTACTGACAGAGCTGCCAAAGCAAGGCCTGTCCTTCCCATTGTCCAAGGGTCAGCTTGAATGGCCACCGTACTTCTGCCCTGGAGGGGCCTCTGCTCCACACTCCTGCTCACTGAGCTCGTCCCTGTGGAGACACTGATCTCTCATATTCCTCAGAGGACACTGCACTACATAGACACAGGCTTTACCCGTGTGTCATGTCCCTCAGCATCTGGTACAGGTCTTGAAAGACTTAGTCACTGCTCTTGATGAATGAATGAATGAAAGGTTGAGTGAATGAATGAATGGTTGAATGAATGAATGGTTGAATGAACGAATGAATGGTTGAATGAACGAATGAAGGAATGAATGAAGATGCAGGAATTCCAGTGTTTCAAACAACGTGCATCTGCTTACATGGTTTTCCTTCACGTGACTCAGAGCTGGCTTTTATTTATTTTCTTTAAGTATATAACTTTCACCTCTGCCCTTAGGCGTGATGACATATTATATCTCAGCTGCCAGAGGAAACTCCCCGAGTTCCATGTTCCCCCTGAGAACCTTCGGGTGTCCTGTCTCACTGTGGGGCTATTTGGACCTTCCAGCTCTGAAATTGCTGAAGGGTGCTGTTTGTCCAGCATGTGGCTCCTTTCCCTTTTCCCACGGTATTCTGTGGTTTGATTCCGTGAAAATGATTAGTGTGGGTTTTTTTTTTTGAAAAGTCAATTCTACTTAATACTTCCTCCTCGAAGTTCCCACTGCTTTTCTCTTGTTTAGTTTCATAATATGCTGATATTTTCTATTGTCTCCTGTCTCCTGGACCCCATGGTTACAGAATCAAACAGGACCAAACAGCTGCGCATGGGCCGTGGCGGGGGTGCCTAGGGAGCAGCTGGGATGGCCCTCTCCTCTCCACCTTGGCTGAGCTGCTGATTAAATGGAAGGGTTCCCAGAGAGACAGGGCGAGGGGACCGGTGGGAGCCCCTGGGGCCGGCCTCATGGGCTGGTTGCAGCATTTCTTTTGCCATAGAGCTGCAATTGCCAAGATAAACATAAGTTCTGAGATCAAGTGGAAACCCCAAGAGGTTTTCATCTAGGAAAAATAAATCTAGAAGTGTTGGGCCAAGAAGTCCTTTTCTTCCACACCCAGATCTGCACAGCCTGCGTGCGAAAGTCGGAGGGAGTGGAGAATGCTAGGGCACCGAGGAGGCAGGTCACAGCGCCGGAGGGGCCCAGCTCTGTTACTCCCCATGCGAGACCTTGGGCTTGTTCCCTTTACCTCCCTCCGTGGCATCGTGGTGGGACTTCCTCATGCCTGTGGTGATGTCAGGATTAAGTATGCGAACAAATAAATGTATAGCGCTTGGCACAGCGCCTGCCGCCTTGGGAAATGGTGGCCGTGATTTTTATTAGCTACTTCTCAAAGCTGGCCGGCTGGTGCAGGGTCTTAGTTTTGGAAGGTACCTGATGCTTCTAATCCATTGGCAATTCTCTCCCAAAATACAGTTGACCCTTGAACAACACTGGGGTTAGGGTGCCGACCGCCCCCCCCCACACACAATTGAAAATCTGAGTGTAACTTTTGACCTTGGAGGATTGGTTCCAGGACCCCCACGGATACCCAAGTCCAAGGATGCTCAAGTCCCTTATATAAAATGGCATGGATCGGTGCATGCTGTGCCTCTGTGGATTCTCAACTGCAGGCTGAAAATACTGAGGGCCAACTGTATATTTATTGAGAAACAAATCTCCCCGTAAGCTCATCTCCACACAGTTTATACCCATGTTGTTCAAAGGCCAACTGTTTATTCTTAATCAGACCTCTTCTAACCACACCTACGCTCCCATCACAGTCTAGGCCTCTGTCACCCTCATCTGCTGCTCTCCTCGCCTTGATAAGAATTCATGGTCCTGGCCCTGGCTGGGTAGCTCAGTTGCTTAGAGCGCCATCCCGATACGCCAAGGGTGCAGGTTCGATCCCCAGTCAGGGCACATCCAAGAAGCAACCAATGAATGTGTAAATAAGTGGGACAGCCAATCAATGTTTCTCTCTCTCTCTGTCTCTCAAATCAATAAAAATATATACTTGAAGATTAAAAAAAAAAAAAAAAGTGTTTTTCCAGTGGGATGACCCCTGTAAGGCTTTTCTACCTGTGAGACCTCAGGCAGTTGAATGAATGTGCACGGCCTCAAACGTAGACCCTAAAATGTGAGTAAAATGGTGTCTGGGTATAGGACCGTTGTGAGGTAGGAATGAGGTAAAGGCCAGGCGTGCTGTCCTGCAGGGACTGAACACCCAGCCTACATGAGGCCACCTGTTCAGGTGCGCAGCCAGAGAAGGACCCAGTTCTGGTGACTCTGAATTCAACACTTTCCGGTGTTTCCCAGAACAAGGAAGGAGGGGGACAGTCTATGTAATATCTGTGCCCCACTAGTGGGCCTTTGATTCTGAAAAAAGTGGGCTTATTGGGGGACCGTGTAACATCTCTCCCTGACTTGACGTGGGTCTAGGAAAACCAGAGTATTTCTTCCACATCTGTCACTGTTTCCCTGTCCCCCAGGCTCCCAGAGCCCACGCATGTGTTCACACCCAGGACTCGAACAGCGCCTGTGCCTTTTAGGGGGTGTCCTGGGTTGGAGGTGAGGAGGGGACTTAGAGAAGCCAAGCCTCCCATCCTAACTCTGCCCTGCAGACAAAGACCAGCTTCCTAGGCTAGTTTGGGGGGATCTGTTGGCTCTGTGAGGAAAGCGTTGTCTTCCGAGATTTATAATGAAATTTGGAACTGCCTTCTGGCCTGGTGTCCCCAGCCCAACCTGATTTTTCTGCCTATTTAATTCTGACCATGACTTTCTTCATGACTTCAGCTGAGGGAAAACAAGTCTTGACTCTCAAGACAATCCAAGTGGGGCGAAGGTCTCCTTGATGCATTTGTCTGTCTGTGAAGTTCTAGAGTGAGGAACGTTTATAAATAAAACGAAGGTTCAGGAGTTAGATTGAAGACTAAGAAAGGAATACGACACCCGAGATTTTTCCTGTGTCTGCGCGCAGCCCAAATTTGGGCTCAAAAGGAAAAAATAAATAAATGACAAAGACTTACTACACATCGTGGAAGTCTCCGTGTAAGATTGCGTAATAAACCATGGGCGAATCTAAGGCCGGAAAATATACGCTCAACACTCGGGAGAAAGCAGACAAGAGAAGACCCTTTTGGACAAGATTTCTTGAGATCAGGAAAACCCGGCCCTTGAGCAGCCAAGCAAGTGGTCCAAACACCTGCCCTGAGGACGCCAAGGGCGTGCTGGGAAATTACTCATCGGGTGACCTCACCTCTGGGGAAGGACATTTAATCCCAACTCAGAGATCAGCTGTGAAACATGTAGATGAATGTGGCTTGGTGGCACATGGTCCACGGACACGGAAGCTAGGTCCCCCGTGAGCAGCGGCCAGGCCCTCGTCTTCCAGCCCCTGCCCGGCGGGGCGCGGGGGCTGCGGCCGTCCCGCAAGCAGGCGGCCCTCGCCTGCGCAGTTCAGGTGGCTGGTGGATGAAGTAGGAAGCCAAGGCGCACCGGGAAATGTCTTTAATGAAATGAGAAGTACCAGAGACTTAGACGGAGGGGCCACTGCCAAGAGGCATTACACTGAAGCCTAAATTAAACTTTTCATTGGATTGCCTGATGATAAGTGGTTGTGCCTTTGGGATTTTATTGTCTTTGATAAATGGCATGAGTTCAGAATCGAAAGCAACCCCGGGCCGTAACATAACACAGCGCTGGAATTAATGAGGCACGCCACC